CTATGTTAAGGAAATTCTCAATAAATTCAAGATGGAAGATTGTAAATTAGTGAATACAACCATTGAAGTTTGAATCAAGTTGTCAAGAGATGAAGATGGAGAGATAGTAGATCTAACATTTTTTTTAAGTCTTGTTGGAAGTTTGAGATACTTAACTTGCACAAGGCCGGACATACTCTTCGCGGTTGGGTTGTTAGTTGATTTATGAAAAAACTCACTATGATTCATTTTAAGGCAACTAAGAGAATTCTTCGTTACATTAAATGTACATTTCAATTTTTGGTTGTTCTATTCATTTTCTAACAATTTCAAGTGGTTATTGTAATAGTGATTGGGTTGGAGATTTGACTGATAGAAAAAGTGCTTTCGATTATATTTTCTTCATGGGAAATACGGCTTTCAAAGGGTGTTCAAAGAAACAAGTGATTATCACCTTGTCAACTTGTGTAGTGGAATATGTGTAGCCACTTCATGTGTTTGTCAAGCAATCCCGTTGAGGAATTTGTTGAAGGAATTACACATGTCGCAAGAAGAGTTGAGGGAGATTTTTGTGGACAACAAATCAGTAAGTACTTTAGCCAATTATGCATAACCAAGAAGGAAGTGAAACTCAAGTTCATGAAGTGACAAAACCAAGTTGCAGATATTTTCACCAAGTCCCTCAAGTTTGTAAAATTTCACAAGTTAAAGAGTTTATGCACTTTAAAATTCACGTGAGGCACTAATCCACTAAACTATTGAGGCAACTGCGTTAAAAATTAAACTTGATTATTATTTTTAATGTTTTTTTTTGGAAGTTATGAGTCTTTCTATTTGGTTTGTAAATTTTTGTTAGTGTTAGTGTGAAACATGAGAGTTAAGGCTACTAATGGTCATGTATTCTATCCATTTGAAACACGGGGAATAAAATATTTCCTAGTGTTCCTCCATTCACTTCTCTTAAACATTATTTAGTTTTGCGTGTGTATTTAGGCCACTTATTTCCAACATGCCCTTACACGAGTACATGCCGAGGTATGTTAGAGATTGGAATCTGATCGTATCTCCGACTTTTATCAGACTCCAAACATGCCAAGTTTTTAGAAAGTCCTGAAATCAAATCTTTTCGGAAAAATAACATTTAGGTAGAATTAGGATTCCAAAATAACAAAGTGATTTATTTTAAAAGTTTATTTTCATACTTTAGTTCAATTAACTAAAATAATTACATAGAAAACTATTGTTCAAGTCCAAACTACCCTCCAAACTAATATTTCAAAATACCTAATTATCTTTTATTAAATAAATAATTCCTTCACACAAACTTTTTAGAAAAACCCACTCAAATATGACTGTTTTTATTTTATTTTTTATTTCTTCAAATATGCACTCCAAACTAATGAATATCCAATTAACTAACAGTTTCATACAAGGAAGATTGCTTCATTCGATCAAACCAGACGCTCATCTATGAAACCTCTTGCGCATCATCAATCAAAGAAAAATCACAAGTTATACAATATGTGCATTTACATATAAATATATATATATATAGCAAATTATTAGATATATTGATTCGATTATGTGTTTGGGTTACAGATTTTTACGAATTCAAATAGGAATCATGCTTTGAAGGAATTATTTGATTTAAAAAATAATTTTTTTGGACGTTATACATGAGCATCCATGAAGAGAATATTTGCCATTAGTGGTAAATATGTACAATACTCCACTCTTATAGCAGATGCTAAACATAATTCCGACTATATCGGGGAATTATGTTTAGTCACAATTATGTTTAGCGTTCTCCTTGTTACACACGCACAGGGCGGCTCAATATAATTTGAGGCTTTTGACGAAAAAAAATAAAATGGTCTTTTAATAGAGTCTACCTATATGTTCATGCTAATAATATGCTTATTATTTGGTTTGTGATTTTTAAGCATAGTACTAAATTTTTTTCAATATCTAATTCTATTGTTAGTTAATTGACTACTACCGACTTTCTAGAAGTCATAAAAGTCATATTCAACAATATAAATAAAAATAATGACTACTCACAAACAAAATAAATAATTTTATAATAACAAAATTTAATAAAACTATAAATTAATTGAAGTTATAGAACAATAGAAACCGATTTCAAGGAATTTGGTCTAATACTCCAAAAAAATTCTTTAATAGAATAAAAGTTCATTCAAAGTCTTGTGACGGAGTGAGGTTGTAAATTGTAGGAGTGGAGAAGATAAAAATAAAAATAAAAAATTATAATGAGAGGAGAAAAAGTATGTAGAGGAGAAAAAATACGTGAAGAAAAAAAATAATAATAATAAAAAAATAAAAGTTAATAGGTGTCTTAAAAAAATATAGTAAGTTTCACAACTCCCACCTCAATGGATAATATTTATGGTTGGTGTAATGATAACGATGAGTAATATACTCATGAGATAAGGATGAGAGAGAGATAAAAAAAAATAATAATAATATAAATATAGAAATATTTTGGGACTAATGTTAAATTTCTCTATTGAATGAGGTTTAATGATAGAAGAAAATAAAATTTTTAGGTAGCTTATAATATATAAGGAAAAAATTTTGGGCGCTTGGAAAAAAAGAAAGAAAAAGATAATACACAATAGAAATCTTATAGGTCACTGTCAATCTATTTGTTGATATTTAATAATTAACTTAATTATTTTAAGAAAGTTATAATATATAAAGAAATAAAAAATAATGAGGCTTTCTTATTAACGGAGGCCTTAGACAACCGCCTAACTCACTTAAGGCTCCAGTCGCTCCCGCGTGCACATATATATATATATATATATATACACACACACATGTAAAAGATTTTACAAAATTTCAAAGGACAAACTAGGTGGTGGTCACATTCAGCAGTATTAATGTGTTATTACGGGGGTAGTTGAAGAAATAAATGTAAGTCGACTGCCAACGCTTTTAATTAAGATTTCCTTTCACATGCTGTACGTACCAGCTGCATTGCTTGACGGGCAACAACTTCCTTAAACAAAATGGGAAAAGCATCAAATGACCCTCAGTCAGTGCATTAATATTGATATATATATATCATCTTCATTCATTTTCTTGATGTTCATATTTTTTTTTCCTTAATTGACAACACATACACCTATTCACACATCCACTTTATTTATTTAATTTAATTAAAAAGTTAAAAAATATACTCTAAAAATTATATAATCCCTGAATTATTGTTCTCCACCCATCATCACTTAACATCTAAGCAAAAGGGGAATAAAATTTACACATAATTTAATACATGTGTTAGGTGTCAAGTGGTGATTGGCCTGCCCCAAGACCATTTAATAATATATCTACCTTGGTGGCATCCTTAGCAGAATACAATGAACACACAGACCTATATGTACAATTGTACATAATAGGTTTCTATGTATATTTAATTCTGTACTTTTCAATAAATGCGGCACAAAACAAACTGTACTTGAAAAAAAATAAATAAAACATAAAAAAATACCAAATAATGAAGAAACTCAAAAAGGCTGAGAAACTAAAATGCACGAAAACTTCTACAAAAGAGTCGTATTCATGTCAAATTTTGACACTATCGAATACTCCTCGAATATGTGTCGGACATTTCATATATATGTCCGTAAATAAAAATTAATTTTATTATTTTGGACATTTCACCGACACTTTACGGACACTTCTCTGACACTTCTCAAAAACTTTTTGGACATTTCTAATACAAGTCTATCGAGTAATCTTAAAATTAGTATAAATACTTTAGTGACAAAGTAGTGAAATAATTATGTATGTTATATAAAAATCATTACAATAATAAAATAATTTCATTTTTTTATTCATTTCATAGCAACTCTTAGTATATAAATATAAATTAATTAAAGTTTTATAATACTATTACTGGATAAATATATAAAAATAAAAATTTATATTTATAAGCAGCTGTGCTCACGACTCCACATCGTACCTACGTCTTACTTTTTAAAAATTTAACGTGTTAATATATTTGTATCGTATTGTATTTGTGTTCGTGCTACATAATAAATTTTGCCACGCCACTAAATAAAATTTACATATTTTTGACACATTTGTTGAAGTAGTGATTGATCCGCGACAATAGTAACAGACCATTTAATAATTCCATTCTATACCTACATGCACAATTGAACAGTCGCACCATTGTATATATATATATCATTTAGGTTTCTATGTGTATGTAACTCTGCACTTTCAATAAAAGCGCCATAAAACAAACTGTACTAGAAAAAGAAAAAGACAAACTGTACCAGAAAAAGAAAAAGATAAAAAAAATTAAAAGAAAAATTAATAGAGAGACGTCAAAAGGAAAAAAAATTAATTACGTCAGTTTGTGAGTTGTAATTTATTAAATATTAATATGTAATGATAAAATTTATTAAAATAAAATATTTTTATTAATGTAACAAAATATAATTGGTTAACACTTTATATGATGTTGCACGAGTTATGAAATAAACTATCTATGAGGAAAAATTACTACATAGTCTTAACCGGTCAACACTTTATATCTAAGTAGAAATCTAAATGAAATTTTCACATTTCTGACAAATTTGCTTACGTGGTGATTCGTCCTGGACCAATGCTACAAATCATCTAATAAATTCTCTATAATAAGAAATTACTACATGATCTCGGCTAATCAATACTTAATATCTAAGCAAAAATCTGAATAAAATTTTCACATTTCTGACAAATTTGCTTACGTAGTGATTGGTCCCGGACCAATGCTACAAACCATCTAATAAACTCTCTATGATGAGAAATTACTACATGATCTCAGCCAATCAACGCTTAATATTTACGTAAAAGTTTGAATAAAATTTTCACATTTCTGACAAATTTGCTTACACCGTGATTGGCTCCGGACCAAAGCTACAAACCATCTAATAATTTCTATACCTACCTTGTATATATATCTAAACATACACAGACATATATGTACATATAGGTTTCTGTCTCCCTGTACATTTAGTTCAATAAAACCAAACCCTCTTATTTTCTCAAGGCTCTCAGCTTTCATGGCTTCCTACAACTCGTTTGACGACCCAAATGGAGACCTTAACCAGGTACTACTTAATTTCTTTTTCTTTTCATTTGTCGATAAATTTATTTAATCATTTAAAAATTGTATCATGACTTATTTATCTTTTTATTTATTTATTTTTCTCTATTATTTCCATCATCGTAGATTTATATACTGAAAATTATATAGTTTGAAGCTAGAAAGAGATACAAAAAATATGGGGAAAGTATCACACTGCATGATAAATAAATTGTAGAAACAAGACGTTGTATAGCTTGTGTGTCCCACCTCTACAGAATTTATTAAATATTTTAAAACACTAGTGCATTTTTTTATATTTATTTTTATATAAAAAGAAAAAGAAAAATTTGGTATGCTAATTAGATGGCTAGTATATATTCTCTGGTCCCAAATTCTTTCATAATTGCTATAGTCCCAAATTCTTAGCTTCATGTATTCTCCACATATGTATCTAAGAATGGAATATATATATTCTCTATTTGAGAAAATACTAAATTATACATACATATATATATATATATATATATATATATATAACGAAGAATTAACCTAACTCGTTAGTCACTTCGGACTCTCGATGATTTGTGAATTCCAAATGCACGTAATTGCCTGCAAATTATGTGCATCATTTAAATCAGGCTTCACTTTCAGTGAAACTTGAATCCCAAAAAGCTTTAAAGACTTTACCTGCCAACGATGTGAATTCCGAAGTGACGATGACGTTGATTTCCAACAAATAAAAGCCTAAATTTTAAATTTTTATCTTCCTCAACGCTAACAATACTGTTTCTTGGCAACTAGACTCGAAACAAAAAACTTGAAAATTAATTGTAGCACATGATTGAATCCATGTTACGTATTTATTAGCAATTTATTGCGTGACAGGTACTTTTTGAAGCAAACTCATGTGTTTTGAAGGTTGCACTAAATAGACCAGAGAAACTAAATTGTCTCACCTATGGAATGGTATGTTATCATTATTATTATTATTATTATTATTTAAAGAAGAATGGTATGTTAATCTCTATATGTGATCATGTTATTGTTTTCCTACTTATATAAATAATGTATGAATTGGTGCATTTTATTATCCATTTACTATATTAATCACACGCACATGAAAAACAATATTAAGAGAAAAAGATAAATTGTGAAATTTTTTTTAACTCATTTAAAATATGTACGACAAATATCGTGAAACAAGAATAAATTAAGAAATTAATACAACAGTAAACATGCACCACACAAAATACAAAAGATTTACACGATTCAGCGCAAAGCTTACGTCCATAATAAAAATCAAGCCAAAAGTCAAACCGATTTCAGCCGGTGAGAGATCTGTGGTCCTAGATGCAACCCAACGAGACGGTTTATCTAACCACCGTGAGGGTGCAAACACATGATTATTGACTTGAACTTGCTGTAAATTTGACCCAAGTCCTTATCTTGTGATAACAAAAGGTTTCAGATTAAAGTGAGAAAACACATAGCCTGCTGGCAGGTTGGTCTCTGCTGTTTTTAGGGCACCGGAGAGAATTCGAATCCTTCAATTAATATATTATTCTCTTTATGCTTTCATATTTTATTTCTATTGGCATATTGAAAATAGGTGGTGTTTGATAAAACTAAAATTTTAAATGCCGAAATTTTCTAAAGCAATTATAAGGTATTGTTTAATAATTCAATTTAGCACTCAATTCTAAATAAATTAAGTACTTATCAGTTAAGTTTCTTTTAAAATTGCAATTAATTATATATATATATATATATATATATATATATATGAATTAAGATTCACTTAAAATTATAAGTGAATGAGACTTCAGTTATAACTAGCACCGAATATTAAATGCTTCAGATTCAAACAGATTCTCTGTTTATAATTAACACTTAAAATTAAAGTTCTTAAAATTTTCTCTACTTAATTTTTACTTTTATCAAATATCATAAATTGATTTTTTTTATTTTTTTTTATTTATTTTTTTAAAGCTTGAGAAGAAACTCACACACTTACTTTTACTTATATATGGAGACTTGAACTCTTGTACGTTTTACTTTGAATAGTCAAGAAGTAATAATATTCACTTAAAATTTTAACACATTTAATTGAATATGTAAGCACTTAAACAAGAGTTTCTCTACTTGATTAAAGATTTTCTCAAGCTTGTTTTGTAATGCAAACGTCTCATCATCCTTCTATTATGTAGCCATGGTATATATATATGTGTGTGTGCATATATATATATATATATTTCTAATAGCTAATGAAATATGCATATGCAATGACAATGATATGTAATAGAACCTTTTTCATTTGCAGATCTCTCAGATGGAAAAGACTCTGAAAGCGTATGAGAGCGATCCGAGTGTCAGAATTGTAATTTTAAAGGTCAGAAAGGACGTACACTTATTACGAATAGTAACATATATCATTGTTTTCATTTAACATAAAGTGAAAATATTTACAAAGAAGGTTATGATGATAAATGAAAGATGTGAAGTATACACTTTGGTATTAAAATGTGTCGGATCGAGTTATAATTTTTAATTTATTTTTAAATTTTAATATCAAAAGTAAAACTGCACGTGCAAGCCTACTCCAAACCAATGTGAACATCACTTAGAGAGGTATGGTAGTGAGGACACTAATTGCACATAGTATATTTTGTGTTAAATTGAGAGCTATGAGTTTTTAAGTAGAAAACACGTGTATTTCAACCGCAAGTGTTTCAAACACAATTGGTAACACTTTACGTAGGTTGAAAGGTAGCCCTTAAAAAAAAAGAAAAAAAAAACCACGTTATAAAACAGAACCGGTTGCACATTTTTTTTTTTTTTTTTTTTTTTTTGTATATTTTAAATTCAAGTCAATTTATAAATATTAACAGATGTCCATACACAGCCCAAAGGATAGTTAGCCAAGAGCTAAACAACCAAAAGGGCCCAGGCTTGGCCCAAAGGCCAACAAGGCTTAAGGAACCAAAAACAGTTACATAGTTGTTACTGAAGTCCTCATATCCGGTGAACATGGAGTGGCTCCAACATATCCGGTTGCACTTGTTCAAACTAAAAAGAAAAGTTCTTTTTAGTCAAATTTGAATTCCTTTTTGGTTTGGTTTTAGAGAGAAACTTTTGCACAAAACTACTAAGTTTTCTAAGGGTTACTAGGTCTCTCTAAACACATATAAATATTCTTTATGATCTCAAAAATCATTACGTCTTTTGTGATTAAGTTTCCAAAACCCTAGAGAGCTATTAAGAGGTTTTCAGAGATTATTTATTTTTTACATTGAGAATACACATACTATTAGGGTTGTGGATCACATTTAGGTAGAGAAGTCCATTATGAAAAGGCACAACCGGTTACACTTCGGTAGAATGTTTGGAATGGTAATTCATTTTAGCGAAATTGGTTGCGCTAAACGGTTGCACTTGTGCATGAATTGGTTCCCTATTCCAAATTGAAAAGTTGTTCAACAGGATTAATATGGAAATTCTTTAGTAGGCAAATTGTGAACCCTTGTCCAACAAGGAATTGGTGTGAATACTCTATAAATACAGATAGGTGTGAGAGATAAATAATTGTAGAAAGAAAAAGTGAGTTGAGTTTGTGAGAAGAGAAAATGTGTAATCAAGTTTTTGAAGTAAAGATAGTAAGTCTTTGCCCGTGGACGTAGGCAATTTGTCGAACCACTAAATCTCGTTTTGCTTATGTGTGCTTTTATCTGTTCTATTTGCCAATTGTTTGTGTGAAATCATAACAACTGGTATCTGAGCCATGGCGGCAACTATTACGTATGGAAAGTACGTGGTCTAGAAGTTTGATGGAAGAAGTAATTAACTTTAGTTTTTAACAAGTTTGGATGCGGGATTTATTAATTCAATATGGTCTAGGAGAGGCTTTGGGTAAGAAACTGGAAAAGATGGAAGATGCAGATTGGTGGAAGATCAACTTGAAGGTAATGAGTGCGATTTGATTAACATTGGCGGATGATATTGTTTATGATGTGATAAAAGAAGATTTAGCAGTGGACATTTGGAAGAAGTTAGAGAATCTGTATATGGGAAAGAATCTCACCACTAGTTAGTATTAAAGCACGAGTTGTATTACTTTAGGAGAAAAGAAGGAGTAAGCCTGTAAGAACATCTTACTCAGTTCAACAAAATTATTTTTAATTTATCTAATGTTGATGTTAAGTTAAGTGATAAGGACAAAACAATTATTTTGTTAACAACGGTACGCCTCTACCCATAAGCATTTATGGGAGAGATACCATCCGGTGGAACAAGTTAAGAGTTTTTTGTTTTCTAATGAAAGTTGAATGATTAAGAGAGTCGTGATGCTCAAGCCCAAGTTTATTTTGCTCAAGAGAAGAAGATATTTGGAGCTTCAAGAAACCTTGTGCCATTGTTAGAGAAAAGGTGCTACAAGTGTGGGAGAAATGGGCATATTAAGTGGTATTGTCCAGAAAGAAAGGAGAGTGTATCTGTTAATGTTGTTATGGCACAAGTTATGAAAGAAGGAAGTGAAAGTGATGGAGCATTATCAATAATTGATAACAAGGAAGAAGCTAAGGAGTGAATACTTGATTCTGCTTGTTCCTTTCATGTATGTCCTCATAAAGAATAGTTTGCTACATAGAAATCTATAGGTGGTAAGGTATTTATGGGGAATAATACCTTTTGTGTTATCGGAATTGGAACAATCAAAATCAAAACAACGAATGGTTTTGTAAAAATTCTAACGAATGCTTGCCATATTCTAGTGTTAGAAGGAATGTGATATATGTCAGAACATTGGATTCCAAGGGTTATTGGTGTGAAGTAAAGAATGGATTGATGAAGATTAGAAGGGGATCACATGTTACTCTTTTGGGAAGGAAGGTCAACAATCTCTATATTTTATTGGGAAATACTATGCTAGGCGGAGTAGTTACAAAGACAAAATAAAAGACTATTTCGAGATCTACTAGAGTGGAGGATTAAGAGCAGTAAGAGAAGAAAGAAGTCTTGGCAATTGCAAGAGCACCAATCTTTATCCCAGAAGCAAGAAGAGTTCGATTTGGTGATGCAAAGTACATTCCAAGTTTAATTATATGAACTTAGAATTTACTAGGAATAGATAAGTATGGTGGTACGATGAAGAACAATAAGAAAGAAGAAGATGCTAGGTTCAAGGTTGAGGATTTTTTTAGTCGAGTTGGAGCTATGGAGGAGCACGTGAAGACATAATTTTGATCTAAGGTGGAAATTGTTAGAGTTGTGGCTCAAATTCAAGAATATAATTTCATTATGGAAAAGTGCAACCTGTTGCGATTTAGTGGACTTGGTTGCGCTTGGGAAGAATGTTTGGAACGGTAATTCAATTTAGCGAAATCGGTTGCGCTTTTGCGTGAATTGGTTTCCTATTCCAAATTGGAAAGTTGTTTTCCTTAGTAGGCAAATTATGAACCCTTATCCAATAAGGAATTGGTGTGACGACTTTATAAATAGAGATGGATGTGAGAGATTTATAGAGAGAGAAAGAAAGAAATAATTGTAGAAATAAAGAGTGAGTTTAGTTTGTGAGAAGAGAAAGAGTGTGTAATCAAGTTTTTAAAGTAAAGATAATCGTTCTTCGCCCGTGGACGTAGGCAATTTGCTGAACTACTAAATCTCGTTTTGCTTATATGTGCTTTTATCTATTCTATTTGTCAATTGTGTATGTGAAATCATAACACATACTAAACACATGAGTGATTTAGGATGTGGTTCTCTTATTGTCGGAGTTTGTGCCAATTAAATATCTATTACTACTAGTCGTTAAAACAAATTTGCTCTTTCAACTTTAACAACTTAAGTTTGAAGAAAAGGAGGAAGAGATCACACTTTGAAGGGGTCAGGGCATTCATGGAGTGTTCGTTGATCTACCAGCAATCCTTCTACACGGATCATAGGAATATAAGCCTAAAGTTAAACACGTTTGGACGGGAGAGTCGTAGAGCTAAAGACGTTTAGTAATTGGTTTTGTGATCCAGTGAAGAGGGTGTGAGACTAAGTCAAAGTCCATTTTACTTTGCTTAAAGTATATTTCATAGTGGATCTTTTCGCTTAAGACCGCGAGACAGTCTTCGAGGTTTTTCCCTGTAATTGGATGATTTTGTCCAATTAGAGTTTCCTCACTAAAATCCTGGTACCCTACTTTTACTTTACTTGCACTTTGTTTTGGTTTGTAGGTTAATTAATTTGATTTTATTTCGATAAAGTTATTATTTGGCAAAAATCAGATAATAAGGCAAGTTGAATCTATTCACCACCTATAGGTATTTAACCATATTCATATTATATTGTAATTGGTAATATTCGATATCAAAACAAGTTCGATCAAGGTAAAATGGGCCAAATTGAGTTTCTTAATAGCACTATTTAGACCATATAAGGCTGCAGCCAAGTCTTTATCAAACTTCAAACGGGAATGACAAATCTCTACAGGAGCAAATGAATATGTGTTATTTGTGTTGGGAAATCCTAACAATTTGCTTATATAAAAATAATAATAAATAAATTAAATCGGACTATCTAGTCCCCAATCCCTATGTAAGTCCCCATTCCATCTCAAACTTCATTGTTTATAAATATCTTAGAGTCCATTGACCAAAAACTTTGAAGTATAATAAAGTTTATGAGTTGGGCATTATTTAGTGGCTTAGTATAACGGATAGGCACTTCCTATTTATCCAAAAACTTAAACTATTGGATAGTGCTACATATCCACCCATTTATACCCATTTCACTTTCCATCCAGACCCGATGTGGGATAAGTACCCCTTGTAACATTCTCCCCTACCCGAATTTGTAACGTCTTCGTTGCGATTGAGCCATCCTACTTACCCGAGTGGGCTCACCCGGACGCCTTCGAATTGGGCGTTTGGCGTGACACCGGATCAAGGACTGAATTTGACTCCAATACCAACTGTTACAGGTGGGTGCTTGCCCATTTACCCAAAAATTTTTGCTCACCCGTTACACTTAGTGTGATAAGGGGAAACTTGTCCTACGTCGGATCCAGATGGAAAAGTGAATGGATATATATTGGTTGGGTCGAATTGCGAAAGATCTACCCATTATAGTTGGTATCAGAGCCAGACCATTACTTGATCCGGTGTCATGACACCAAGCACTCAGCCTGGAGGGTGTCTGAGTCTGCACTTCAGGTAGGCAGGGTGGTCGAGCCGCAACGAGGGCATTGCGTGTTCGGGTGGGAGAGAATGTAACAAGGTCCCATATTAGATCCGAATGAAAAAGTGAATGGGTATATATGGGTTGGGTATTAGTCCTACCTAATAGTTTAAGCTTTTGGGTCGGATCATAAGGCACCCATCCGTTATACTTAGTCGGTTCTACGAGTGAGTGTGCCTATGTTCAAGTGCCTCTCCCCTTAGTTTGCCTGGAGATTAAAAAAAGTTTAGAAATTTCTAAACTAATATTTTCTAATATACATTTTTTCATCCATTGTTTAATATTTCTATTACAGGGAAAGGGAAAAGCATTTTGTGCTGGTGGAGATGTGGTCAGAGTAATTCAATTTGTAAAAGCAGGTTTTTTAGATTTTCTTTTACTACTTGATTGTTGTTCTTTTTCTACTAATTTTGGGGGGGAAAAAAAAGATTGGTTGTGAAAATATTATGAAAACATCTTTTTATTTATGTTGGTGATAAATTACTTTCACATGTCAGGACACTGGAGCTTTGGCGCAAGTTATTACAGGAAACAGCTCACATTAGACTATCTACTTGCTACATACAAGAAACCTTTGGTGAGATACGTATATTTACATAAAAATAACGATAAGCAATTGGACAGTCAGGATGTATCTAATAGTTTTATATGAGTGGGAGATGATACATGATGATATAATTAAATATAATGATGCCATCCTTTACTCACATAATTTTAGTTGGATGTATATGACTCTCAAACAGTCACATTTTGTATTATTATATTACTCTTTATATAATTTTATTCATACTCTGACTAATATATTATTATCTATTTTTCCATTTCTTTCCTTCTTTTCTTACCTTAAATCTCTATTTTAATCCAAATATCAATATTACTGAAGGTGTCCCTCATAAATGGAATTGTAATGGGAGGTGGTGCTGGACTAACCATGCATGGAAGGATTCGAATTGTCACTGAGAATGCTGTACTAATCTCTCATTTTCACTCAACATACTCTCATATGTTTAATTAGTGACTTTATTATCTTGTGACAATTAATTTGATTATTTGATAAAATTAGTTTTCTTTTTTGCAACCTTTGTGTTATTTATTTGTGTTAGTATTTGAAAACGATGTTAGTGAGAACATCTAAGAAAGGAGATGCTACCATAAACATTGATTATTTCTTTATATTCTTTCTATATCTTTTAGAATCTAAATTAATAAGATATTAGCCAGAACATTAGAAATTATTCTAATGATTATTTTGAACTGTTACTATTTCCTTAGTTTTTATATTATTTTATTATTTTTTATTTAGTACTCACATACACATGCCTCCACTGAGGCTCGAACCCCTGATCTATCTTTGGGAAATAGGGGCTGGTATCGCTAGGCCGCCTGTTAATTATTTCCTTTAGTTTATATATATGTATAACAATTCCAGATTATACAAGTAGTTTGTGATACTATAAATCTATTAGGAATTTCAAAATACAACCTTTCAAGAAGATAATTTATATATAAAATATGTATTTGCTAAAGTTGTATCCAAACAAGAAAATCAAATATAAAATGATCATTGATTTGTTGTTTTTATGGATGTTTGGATATAGGTTTTTGCAATGCCAGAAGCATCAATAGGCCTTTTCCCTGATGTTGGAGCATCACACTTCCTTTCTAGGCTGCCTGGCCATTTTGGTATCCTTTCCAACTCTTCTTTCTTGTTAGAAAATTCAGCAAATTACATTGATATATTATTATTTAAACAACACTTTTATGATTTTAAATTTCTTGTCACCATTATGAAATGTGCATATTATGGACATTGGACAGTCAGATAATTTAGAATTGATGGTGTGAGTAAAATGTAATGGGAGAAAAGCTATGCAATTGAATAACTAAAATGCTTGGTGTTGTACATTTACTCGATTTCCATAGTATGACTTATGCTGTGTTTGGCGGCACCAAGTTTACCCTTTAATAAAAAATAATAATAATATATATTTAGTGGCATCGAATTGGCGTTATGGATTTGGAATAAGAAAAAATTTAGTACGAATTTTAAACTAAACTTGCTTCAATCCTAAATCCAAGGCACCGATTCGGTACTTCCAAACATAACATTAGGTGATTTCCTAAACATTTTTTAGCCCTCTTGATCCTTCGGACTTGATGTCTACTATGCACCAGTAAATTTGCCTTCAAGATGGAACCAAGTTTAATGCTCGAACCTATGGATTTTTTTTTCTTTCTCGATGAATGGTGGAAGAAAATGTTTGGAAGTTTCAATCCCAAATCCAAGGCACCGATTCGGTACTTCCAAATATAGCATTAGTTGATTTCCTAAACATTATTTAGCCCTCTTGATCCTTCGGACTTGATGTCTACTATGCACCGGTAAATTTGCCTTCAAGATGGAACCAAGTTTAATGCTTGATGTCAACCTATGGATTTTTTTTCTTTCTCGATGAATGGTGGAAGAAAATGTTTAGAAGTTCTTAATACGTTTTTTTTTTTTTTTTTTTTTTTTTTCAGAAATACTAAGAATCATATAAGTCTTTAGAATGGTTCTGTTCCTATAAAGACTTAGAATGCCATACCAACATGTTAAAAAATAAAAAGACAAAAAAGAATTTGTAAGAATGCAATGTATACTAAGAATCTTAATCTGGTTTTAACACCTTATTTTAAGTCTCTGGTTTGACATCAGCATAGTCTTCAATCTTAACCGAAGGTAGTGTTCAGCATTGCTTCCCTCTTCCATAGCCGATTCACCATCAACATGTTGGGGATATTTAACTTCCTCCAATTGACGTGACTCAACTGTCAACTTTTGTTGTGAGTTAAATCCCTCCTTCATCATATACAGCGGAAGTATCATCACATCACATTATCACAAGCATATGTGGAGATAACAATCATACATATTCATACACAATATAGTATTTTACTTGGTTCACCCAATTCTAGGGTTATGTAAATGGAGAGATTTTATTATCATGAATCAAGAAAGAGAATATACAACCAGACTCGTTTATGACCTAACGACTACTCTCTTGTAGCCTGATATATAAGGGCGCTTAGGGTTTGGAGTGGAATGGACTAAGACACTGAAAATTGTAGAGAAAGAAAATGAGAGCGAGAGCTAGGGTTTGGGGATTGAAACATGTAATCTTCTATTTTTCACACAGTGAAAACTTTCGCTAGATCTCCACTGTATATATATGCTTTGTCGAACCACACTAAATCTTTGTGTTCTTTATGTGACATTTTTACCTTTTCTGTCATGTTTCTTAATTTGTTCTTGAGTTTTCTGTGTTTGTCGTAACAGATAGTTTAGAGTGAGACTCAACTTAGAGGCTGCCAAAAGCATATTGACTCCATGATTGTACAAGACAAAACCTCATAATTGTGATCCATCCAATGGCATATTGACTTCATTATCATAAAACATTCATACATATCTTTAATGTTAGATGAGAGAAAAAATTCAAAGAAGTAATTTATACTTGAATGTTCGATTTATAATGTTTAAATTTAGCCAAAGTAATTAATTCATATGATCTCATTTCATCTAATTTATTACTTGCCAAACACTACATATACAGGAGAATATTTAGGGCTAACTGGAGCAAGACTAGATGGAGCTGAAATGCTTGCATGTGGCCTTGTAACTCATTTTGTCCTTTCAAAGGTACTCACAATATTAGAAAGAGATTTACACAATCAGATTTTTAATTTACAAAACTGATGTTTTTACACATGATAATTACCATTTGGCACATAATTAATAATCCTTGGTATGGACGAGAAAGTAATATTCTTAAGAATGGAGTTATATATATATATATATATATATATATATGTTCTTTCTTGTTTTCTGTTCTTCACAGGATCTTCAGGCATTAGAAGATGCGCTATGTGATGTAGTTTCTTCAGATACATCAACTATATCTGAGGTCATCAACAAATTCACTCACAAAGCACATATAAAGCCTGATAGCTCTTATAAAAGGTGATCACTAGCAATTGTTTCATTCAGTTCAAGTGATGTTGTTACACCTCCCACAATATATATATATATATATATATATAGTATTTCTAATGTGCATTTCAATCCTACACTATTTTTTTTTGGTTAAAAGGTAAGCTTGTATATATGATAAGGAATGTACAGAGGGCCCCAAGGCGGGGAGAAAACCAAACATAACAACCAAAAACCAATAATGGCTACCAGAATTAACAACATGCTGCAAATGAAAAAACTATCAAGTTTGTTCATTCCTAGAGCAGTAATGGAGAATTAATGTCACTGCACACAATAAGCCAAGAACTATCACTGCCACGATAAGCCAAGCACACATGATTCAAGATTGAAACAAACGTTGTCCTGAGGCAATGGCACAGCCTTGTTAAAAGAGTAGCTATAATTCAGAGATGGAAGTGATCTTCTTTAAGTGCATGCTTGATCTGAGTTTAATTGTTGCAAGTCTAGCTCTAACACAATTTTTAATCTGCGCAATGATGTTGTGATGTGAAGATGATTGGTTTCCAAATGCTCTAGCATTCCTTTCCATCCAAATGGAATAGACAGTAGCATCCTACAGGAGTTTGTGTACTAAGAATTTAGTGGATCTCCAATGAGTAGAACACTACAGGACCAGTTGAAACCAATTGTCCGGCCTAATGTAAAACCCTGCCATATCTTGAACAAATCTCCAAATGTGTGAAGTGTAGTCACATTTGGAAAAAAGATGGTCAATGGACTCCCAAGCTGAGTTACATAGATAGCAGCAGTTGGTGTAATGCTTGTGGAGGACAGGTTTGGCATCTAAATTATACAATCTTCCCCTCACAGCCAGCCAGAGAATAATGTTGTGCTTAGGAATATGATCTTTGGACCAAACAACCTTGTGCCAAGTGAAAGTTGGAGAGGGTGGGGTGAAGTTTTTATAGATGTGTGCCATTGAAAAATCTTTGTTGGGGCTAGGTACCCATTCAACATAATCTGGATTTGAGGAAGGATGAGGCAGTTCATGTAATTGAGAAAGGAAGCGTCTGGTCTGAAAGAATTGGTGCAAGAATTGGTGCAGCTGTATAGAGCTTGGATTGAACCAATGGTTGTTGGAAATTAGGCTATCAACTAGAATGGAGTTATTTAGTTGAAGAATTTCCAAACCATTGAGCCCCAGCTGCTGATCCAGTGGATCATTTGGAAGCCAGTAATCTAACCACAGGCTTATATCCTTCCCCTCCCTCACTCTGTGCTTAATAAGCCCTCTAGCCATCAATCTTAATCCAAGAAGTTTCCTCTAGAAACCTGAGCTCAGACTTGTAAGTTTGAGAGACCAGAAACTCTTGGTATTGAGTAGGTAAACCTTTATCCATTCCACCCAGAGACTCTCCTTCCTTTTGCATATTTTCCAGATGTGCTTGAGACTAGCAACTCTATTAGCCAAATCCAAATCCTGAAATCCAAGACCTCTATTGATTTTAGGCCTACAGACAGCTTGCCAAGCAACTTTAGCTCCTTTTTTCTTAAGGTCCACACCAGTCCAAAAGAATTTCCTCAGCAATTGATTGATCTCCTCCAAAACTTTTTTAGGTAAAAGGAATGCTTGTGACCAATGACTGGATGGAGGCAAGGACAACTTTAACAAGCACAGCCCTTCCTGTATAAGAAAGAAATCTGGATGTCCAACTCCCCACTCTTGCTGTAATTTTTTAAATAAGGGATTGATAATCCCTTGCATTAATTGAGGATGATGATAGGGGAAGACCCAAGTACATAATAGGAAGTGAGCCCTCTTCAAATTGCAGCAATAATAAGATGGTTGATTTCAAGGAATTGTCCACTCTTGAGAAGAACACTTTGGATTTTGAATTGTTAATCTGCATACCAGAGATGCTACAGAAGTGGTTGAGAGCTTCCAGTAACACCTGAACTGAGGCAATGCTTGCATGAGAAAATATCAAAATGTCATCAGCAAAAGCCAAGTGAGTGATTGACATCTTCTTCCACCTCCAATGGAACTTGAATCCTGCATTAGCTTCAATCTTTCTATTCACACACAGTGATAGCACCTCCATTGCAATTACAAATAACATAGGGGATAGTGGATCCCCTTGTCTAATACCCCTCATCCCTTTGAAGTAACCAAACAACTCTTCATTAAGGGAGATAGAAAATGAAGTAGTAAATATGCACTGACCAATCCAGTTAATGAAAATGGCAGGGAATCCAAACAGCTGCAGTGAGTTAAGAATGAACTGCCAGTGTAATGAGTCAAAAGCTTTCCTAAGATCAATTTTTAGGGCACATTTTGAAGAGTGATTCCTTCTATGGTAGCCATTCAGTAGCTCATGAGCAAACAAGATGCTATCAGAGATTTGTCTTCCTTTGATGAATGCAGTTTGGGTAGAACTGATAAGTATGGGAAGAATATGACTTAGTTTGATTGCTATAAGTTTGGAAATGGTTTTATAGATGATATTACAGCAGGAGATAGGCCTAAAGTCATTAGTTGAGGTGTGACTTGGTGATTTGGGGACCAAGGCAATGTAAGTACTGTTGATTTCAGTTAACATTTTTCCTAAGATGAAAAAATCTCTAACAGCTGTAACAACATCTTCACCAACAATTGTCCAAGCTTGCTTGAAGAAATAAGAATTAAAACCATCTGGTCTAGGGCTTTTATAGGGGTGGAATGAGAGTATGAAGGCTTGGATTTCAGAGTCAGTGGGAATTATTGCAAGTGAGGGGAGAAGGTGAGTTGGGACAGTTTTGGAGATTACATAAGAGAAAGAGTCCATACCTGGGTAGCTGTTGTTGGATTGACCAAAGATGGATTTGAAGTGGTTGAGCAATTCAGTTTTGAGCTCCTGTCCTTGTAGCTGCACACCATTAGGATCAGTAATAGATTGAGCCTTCCTCTTGAACTGAAGCTTTTCATGAAGAATGAGGTATTTTGATTACCTTCTTTAAGCCAGTGCACTTGGGATTTTTGTTTAAAAAACATTTCCTCAGCTAAAACAAGATCAGAGAGCTTCTGTGCAAGTTCTTTCTCTGTGATTTTGAGTGAGTCCTGAGCTGGATTGGAGTCAAGGTTTTTTTGACAAAAATACAGATCATTCCTGCACTCTGCTACCCTTTCTGAAATGGCACTATATTCCATCTTGTTAAGCATCTTGAGAGGTTGCTTGAGAGCTCTGAGTTTCTTCACCAATCTAAACATTCTGGATCCATGGACTTCTAGTTGCCATACTTGTGAAACAATTGTTAAGAAGTTTGGGTTTGAAGCCCAAAAATTAAAGAATCTGAAAGGAATGTTTTTTCTAGCAACCAGTGAACCAAAATTAACAATCATAGGTGAGTGATCAGAAATTCCCTGTGGTAGGAAATGACATTCAGCCTGTGGAAATTTGGACATCCATGAATGGTTGATGAGAACTCTATCAAGTTTCCTCGAGATGTTATCACAACCAAAGCTACCATTGGTCCAAGTGTGGAAGATTCCATCAAACCTTAGGTCTTCAAGCCCATTGGAGCTGAGGAAATCCTTAAATTCAGTCATACCAGTTGCTTATCTAAGTGCACCCCCAAAGGAATCATTAACATGCAGAAGAACATTGAAGTCACCAAGAAGAATCCATGGCTCATTACTAGTTGAATTCTGATTAAGGTTTTTCCATAGTACCCTCCTATCCACAGCAGTATTTGCAGCATAAATGAAGGAGGCTCTACACTTCACTTTCAGGTCCTTAAGGAAGATTGAGCAAGTGATAGCTTGAGAGCATACATTGGATGATAATATTTCCAATTTGAGTGAGTCCCACAGTAACCAAACCCTTCCCAATACAGAACAAGTGTAGTTACACATGATTTGCCAATGTGGTGCAATATTCCTATGCACAACAGCTACATTCTCACTGCTAACCTTAGTTTCTAGGATTGCCATAAGATTCAAACCTTTATTTCTGATGAGGAACCTAATCTCTTCTTGTTTGAGGGGAGAGTTGAGCCCTCGGATGTTCCATGCTCCCCAAATCATTGAGAGGCTGTTTTAAGGCTGCATAAACTTCTATACCCTTTGAGGGTAGTCAAACCTTTAGCAATTCTTGGTTTTTTTTTTCCAATTTTGGAATGCTTTGAGTGAGTAGGATTTCTAGGTTTCAAAAGCTTTTCCATTGTAGGGGAGAAGGCTGGATCATTACAACTGGATTGTGAATCCTCACTATTGAAGTGGCAAGTTCAATTGAGTAATCATTATTTTCCTGCAAGTTTTCCTCTGAGAGAACATCAAATTGGTTAGCAGTTGTTGTTGAGGTATTTGGGATTGGCTTTTTCCTTGTGGTTTTGAGGTTGGAAGGTGAGAGGTCAATTATAAAGTTGATGCCTTTTGTGTTTGGAGCAATTACAGGAGTAGGTACACAGCTAGGTTAAGGGTTTGCAGTGGAAAGGGTGATTAAAGGTAGTTGGTTTGTTCTATCTGTGGTGATGGGGGAATTCTCCACTATAGAGACATTGGATTCCATTGAAGCTGAAGTAGATGCATTACCAGTATGCCCTCTTGGGCTAGAGGGTGTGAAAGGGTTGGGGATGGGTTTACAAATAGCTCTTCCTTTACTTTTGGTGACAAGATGCCAGTCATCAGTTTTATTGTGGTCATTTGTTGAATTTTTATTCTCCCCTTGGCCCGCAGTACAACTAATATCGTTGTGTCCAAAAGTATAGCATGTGGTGCATCTTTTGGGTAACCATGGGTATTGGACAATAATGACTTCTTTTTTGCTCCTTAGCTTCACTTGGAACGAAGATGGAAGGGAAGATTTGGGGGTGATTTCAACACACAATTTGGCATAATCAATTCTGCTCTTATCTCTAGTGTGCTCATCAGCAAAAAGAGGTTTCCCAATTGCACTACCCACATAACTAAGACCTTTCGAGGACCAGTATTCAAATGGCACATTGAACAACTTTATCCAAATTGACATGGTGCTTGGTGAGTTAGGGGAACAATTGTTATCTTGTTCCCACATTCTAAGGCTGATTGGTTTCTCTACAATGAACCATTGACCCCCTGCCACAATTCTCTTATAGCTCTCAATGTAGTCAAAATGGAAGTAGAAAGTACCTTTCGAGTTGGCTACCACTTGCTTGAGGCCCTTGTTGTCCCACAGCTTATGAGCAGAGCTTGAAACAACCTTAAATGGAAGCCTTCTTTGGAAGGACCCAAGTACACAACACTGCCAGTATTTGGTTCCTGCAATCGTGATTTCTTTTGGTGGATTAACTAGCACTGAGTCATCGTTGAGAGTTGGCTCGTGGTAATGGAGGTCCCAATTCCTGGATGGAGATTGAGCTATTTTAACCCAGCTTGATTGGTTAAGTTCAGAATTGGTGGGGGGTGGGTCGGTTTGAGGGAGTGCAACATGTGGCTGGGTTGACTTTGAGCACTGTTCCAAGTTAGTTGGTACGTGACTAGGATGGTTAGGATGGAAAGACAAGGATTTAGATGGTTCTTGACTTGACGTGATGTGATTTGGGGCATTGTGCGTAATCTGAGCTGCAAGGGGGTTACCATGTGGGGTTGGTGCATGAAAAGGAGGGAGATATTTGTCTGCATTGTGATCCCTCCTTAATGGGTTTGAATTTGAAATTTGGTCAACCTTGTCAGTAGGTTGAGTAACGTCCGCTTCACCAGGCACGTAATCAACCACATGCTTCTTACTGGAAGACGTCGTCGCCGGAGCTAAGGATGATGACAGTAGCTTTTGAATCAGGCCAAGAGCAGCTCGTAATTCTTCCATAATCAAAGCTTCTGCCTTTGTTAATTCATTTTCCTTCTCTTGGAACAGTGACTTGAGCCTTGCAACCTCCTGAATGAGTTCATACTTTGAGGCATCCATTATGGCTGCATCAATGCCTTCTGGTAGTAGGACCACATCCCTGACCTCCAGCCCATTGGGGTTAAGCAATCTGTCATTTTGTAGTGCATTCCTGACTTTTTCTTTTGTGTAACCTGTAACTGAAGGGGGCGTGGCTTAAAATCAGATGTAATTTCCTTAACTGGCTGTAGAAAGGGAGTGGACTTGGATGGGGATTGTGATGTAAGGGGTGTGTGAGGCTTGATTTGTGGGACTATGGATTTGGATAGTGAGGGGTTCTTACTTGAAACTAAGATTGGTGGTGAGAGTGGTGAGATTAGTGGTGATGTGGGTTTATTTAGTGGGTAGTGTTTGAATTGATACATGAAATTGTTGATGTTACTGACGATAAATTTTTTACAAAAGCAGATTGGAGATCATCAACAAATGTTTTTCTAATAAAACAGTTGAAGAAATATTGTTAGCTCTGGTATGGTCACTATTATATTACTCGTCGTATATTCTGCCCTGCCTCTGCCTAATTAAATTGTTATATATATGAGATCAATTAATATAGGATGCAATTGTTTCATTTAGGAAATTGAAGCCTCTATAGGAGCAGAAAAGTGGGTGGTTAATGCCATACGTTACATGAAGTTGGCTTCACCAACTAGTCTTAAAGTTTGTCTACGATCTGTAAGAATCATTCTAAATGCTTCTTAATTTTTCAAATAAATTATTTTTATATCACAAAATGTTGCATGCATTCTTTTAACAAATTTTCTTGATTCACCATCAGATTAGACAAGGACGGACGCTAAAACTTGAATCTTGTCTGATAAGTGACTATATTGTTGCTTCTCACATGCTGGGAAGAACAGTGAACGCTGATTTCTTTGAGGTCTCTATATATATAATAGCACACACACACACACATATATATTTGCTTTCTGTACATTTTCTTAACTAACTTTATGCTAATCACTGTAATGGAAAACCAACCTGCAGGGTTCAAGAGCAATGCTATTTGATAAAGACAGAAATCCAAAGGTACAAAGAAAACTGCCTTCCTTTTAGCAAATACTGGCCATCACTTGTTATCTTTCCACATTCCAATAGTAATGTACTTATTTATTTCCTCTTCTGAATCAGAAACTTGACTTATATAGTAAAATTTACTTTAGTACTTATAGGCTAGTGTATGGAGCCACACAAAGAGCTGCTATATATATATAGAAAGGCTGGAAATAAAAGAAGATAGGGGAAGTTATAGACCTGGGGTAAATTAGATATTAACAACCAAAGTTAAAGATAATTGCTTTACAATGACCTCAAAGTTATAAAAAGATGAATAATCTAAAATCCTGATAAGTAAAAAGCAACAACAATTTTTAGCAATTAGCTGCAGATGCTAGTGGGTTAGTGCCTCCGATGGATTTTAGAGTGCCAAATTTCAACTCATTGCATTTACTAATCTAACTTCTAACTTTTCTTGCCTTGTAAAAATAAAAAAATTAAAAATGAGTAATAAGCTCCTTAACATAAATTTTGGTAACAAGAAAATGTGTAAGAAGGCACAAGTAATTACCTTTACTTATAATGTATGATTTTGGAGCCCACTTGAACCGTCAAAAGTCAAACAAGTGAGCTGACACAGTTTTTTGGGATAATTTTGACGGGTCCGTTTTAACCTAAAAAGACTCTAGTCTGATCGGTAGGGCACCTTTTGGCTGAATTCAATCGTTTAGAGCTTGGAAATTTCATTTTTCAATTTTGAATATTTTAGGATTTTCGTTAGAAGTCTAATGAAGTCGAATTACTTCCCTTTTTAGTATTTAGTAGTTTTTAACAATTAGGTTTCTTACCTTATTTTTATAGATTTTTTTGAAAAAAGTTTGATTTTGAGCAGTTTCCTCCTCACTGTATAGTAGATCACTCATTCAATTATCAATATTATATATCATAATTCTCCGTGAATTTTCAACTTTATGGATTCAAAGTTACCCTACTTTGTTTGTGGATTCAAAGTTACCATTGTTCCAATGATTCACAATTTTCTGCTACATCAACTTCAAATCATTTTATATTGAGTGGTTAACAGGGCATTTCCTAATGATATATTGGTGTTACTGATGATGCGGGTGGATGAGAGGGAGGATAAAGAATATAGATGAAGAGGACACAACCAAGAGAAGGAGTGGTATAAACAAGATCTATGATCTATGTAATCAAAATATCAATTATAAATTAATGATCATTACATCTTCATCTTCCACCACTTATAGATACAAGTCTTAACCTTCTTCTACAGATTAATGGTGTCTACATCTCCCAATTTTAACGCAATAAGTAAATATAGTTATTTTAAATGAAACACTACTTACTAGGAACAAAATAGTATCAAGAAATATAAATATGGGTAGTTATTCAGAAAGTCTTCCATTCCAATCTATTTTCAAGAGAACTACTATATATGTTCCAATTAGGCCACATAGACATCCACACGGTGTTGACACGGCTGCCATGTTCATACTACATCATTCTTTTCGGGTGAGAAAGAACTCATCCAGGAGCTTGCAAACAGCTCTCCATAATATGTTGACAAAATTCAATCTTGTAAGCATTATCATTGAATTCCATAAGAACTCTGCATGACCAACCCTTTTCTCCTTAAGCTTGTTGTATATCATGAAAGATCTCATTCATTGAAAATCTTAATGCCACGATGAGTATAAGTAGCTGACTCATATTTTTCATTCCTTTTTTCTCCCTTCTTCATGAATTATTGTCATAGAAGTAGCAAAATCCTCAATCTTCGTATATTTAGGAATTGAAGTAAGATCAAGATAGTGTATTGGAGCTTGTCCATAAACCACTTTAAGCGGACTCTTTCCTATAGAAAGATTCACCACATAGTCATAGGCAAATTCAGCTTGATGAGGAAACATGGCCCATTGCTTTGGTTTTTTTACTGCCAACCCTCTAACCAAATTTCTCAAAATTCTATTCACCATTTAAGTTTGCCCATCAAAAAGTTAATACCAACCCTCTTCCACAAACACCTCCAAAAATGACTATTTGGTACCCTATCCAAAACAATAGACTTTGGAACACTATGGTGCTTAACCACATCGTTAAAGTAAAGACTGACAAAATAAGAAATATCCATAGTCTTTTTGCAAGGAATAAAATGAACCATTTTAGATAAATGATCATCAACAACCACAAAAATGAAATCATTACCTCTTTGATTTCTTAGAAAACCCACCACAATCCTTGCTAACATCTTCCCATGGAGCCTTAGGAAGTAGTTGTTAGAGATTTAAAGAGAGAATATGGAACTCTGTAATGTATTGGATTGAATAATTGCAATATATATAAAACATCTATACTTAAATGAGAAATGGGGGTAGGTGAGTGATGGATAAGCTAACTATATATGTCAAGTGGGTAGGTGGAGGCGGCTACAGTAAACCATAAACCCTAGGATTATATACAATATAATCTAACCCCCCCCCCCCCCCCCCCACACACACACACACACACCCAAAGTCAAGGTGGGTTATATGAAGCTATCTTGAGTTTGGAGATAAGATCCTGAAAGCGGTTTGGCAAAAGCGATTTGGTGAAGATATCTGCTATTTAATCATTAGAAGTAATGGATCTAACCCTAGGATTATATACAATATAATCTAACAGCACCTTCAAAGTCAAGGTGGGTTATATGAAGATATCTTGAGTTTGGAGATAAGATCCTGAAAACGGCCTGGCAGAAGCGATTTGGTGAAGATATCTGTTATCCGATGATGAAAAGTAATGGATCGCAATTGTAAGGTCTTCCAAAGAAAATAATGATGAACAAGATGGCAATCGATCTCAATGTGTTTGGTGCGCTCGTGAAAAATATCATTATGTGCAATTTGGATTGCACTCCTATTATCACAATAAATACAAATGACAGTGGATGAGGAAACCCCCATGCCTTGAAGGAGCCAACACAACCATAGAAGCTCTGAAGTAGTATCAACAAGTGCCATGTACTCAGCTTCCGTAGTAGAATAAGCAACCACAGTCTGTTTCTTGTTGTGCCAAGAGATAAGTGAATCAACAAGAAAGAAACAAAAGCCTGTGGTGGAACGATAATCTGTAGGGTCTCCTGCCTACTCTACAATTGAATATGCATGGAGAACAAGTGATGACTGAGAAGTAAAATGAAGCCCATGAAACAGAGTGCCTTTAAGATAGCGAATGATGCAAAAAGCTGCAGCAAAATGAGTAAATCTAGGGGTAGCCATGAGCTTATGACTAATAATATGAACAATATGAGAGATGTCTGGACATGCATAGTAAGATAAACCATATTACCAAGCAATTTTTGATACAATATACCATATCCCGAAGAGATTTGCCATCATATAGATTGAGTCTCATGTTGTACTCGAGTGGTGTATCAATAATCTTGTTGTTAGTTAAGCCAGCTTTTGAAAGAAGATTTAATATGTATTTTTCCTGAGTGAGGTAGTAACCATCTGTAGCTATAGTGATCTCAAGACCAAGAAAATAACTGAGGGGTCCAAGACCCTTCATCTCGAACTGACGACTGAGAAATTGTTAGAGCTCCTGAATTCCCGTAAAATCATCTCTAGTGATGATCATATCATCAATATAAAGTAAAAGAAGAATAATACCCTGGTCAGTGCATCGGACGAATAGAGAACTGAGTCATAATAGCTAGCAGTGTATCTAAGATAAAAGATAGTCTGGCTAAATTTGGCAAGCTAAGCTCGAGGTACTTGTTAGAGGCCATACAGAGCTCGTTAGAGTCGACACACCTTATTAGAAGGATGATGATAACCTGGAGGAGGCTGCATATAAACTTCCTCAAATAAATCTCCATTGAGAAAGACATTCTTAATATCAATCTGAAAAGTCCTCATTGACGAGAAGTGGCCACAACAATATGAGTATGAACGGAGGAAGACGTGCAACATGAGCAAATGTCTCCTCAAAATCAATACCATATTCTAATATGAATCCTCTAGCTATAATTTGGGCATTGTAGCGCTCAACAGACCCATTTGAATGAGTCTTGATCTTGTACACCAATTTACATCATACTACAAACTTTTCAGAAGGAAAATCAACCAGATCATATGTCTGAGTTTTGGTCAGTGCATCTAACTCCTCTTTCATTGCTTGCTGCCGCAAAGGGTTAGAAGATTCCTCATAAAAAGTGTGAGGTTCATGTAAGGTTGCAAGGGCATGATAGTATTGGAAATCATTAAGATGTGTAGGTGGAACTCATACTCGAGTGGAATGGCGAAGTCTTGAAGTAGTTGTGCTGTAAGGAGTCTCAGATTGGGTATATGACTGGGACTCGATCAAAAAGGATCGACTGCCTCTGTTGATTGTGAAGGTTAAGAATCAGGAAAAAGATCTATAGAGTATGTTAATGGAGGAACATGAAATGCATTTTCAGAGACATTAAATTTAGACAATGTATGGAACATCTTGCATGTGTTCCCAAAAGACTACATGATAAGAGACTCTGAGTCATTTGGCGATTAAATCATAACACCGATACCCTTTTTGTCTAATTCTGTACCCAAGAAAATAACATAGTTGAGTATGTGGTTGTAATTTTATGCGTTCATGGGGTTGGAGAAAAACAAAGTAGGCACACCCAAAAACTCTAATATGGTTATAGTTAAGCGATTTGCCAAATTGGTGCAGGCGATGGTACACGATTGATAGTTTATACAGCAATAAGAGCTGTTTCCTCCCAAAAAGAGGCAGCAACACAAGTTAAAAGGGTAAGTGACCGAACTGTGTCTATAATATGTCAAAGTTTACGCTCAACTGAACCGTTCTGCTGTGATGTACTCGAACAAGATGAGTGAGAACCAATTCCATAATGTTTAAGTATTTGAAAATTTGATTTTGTTGATATTCTATAACATTGTCGGAACGAATTTTTTTGATGTTTTTGGAAAATTGTATTAAAATCATTTTCGTGAAATCACGATATATGTCAAGTAACTCAGAACAAGTTTTCATAAAAAAATGTCCATGTGAACCGTGAAAAATCATCAACAAATATTCCAAAATACTTTGAGCCCCCATGGTAGACACAGAAGAAGGTCCCTAAACATCAAAATGAATAAAGTCAAAAGGAGCAGAAGCACACAACTTACTTGTACTAAACGAAATGCAGGTTGTTTGCCTAGATGACATGAAATGCAATCAAAATTCCCAGTTTTAACTTGACCTAACAAGCCCTTAGAGACTTTTGACACGAGACAAGGAATTAACATAACCTAAGCAGGAGTGCTATAATTCAAGAGAAAATGAATTGACATGTGTAGATGCAGCAGAGATGGTGGGAGTAAGCAGATGAATAGATGAGATTTCGAACAATCGACCAACCTTACGCCCAGTCTGAATAATCTATCTAGTCCGAGGATCCTATCCAACACAACCATTATAAGAAAAAGGTTATGTTTAAGCCTAACTCAGTTAATTGACCAATTGATAAAAGATTAAGAGAAAGTTTTGGTACAAGAAAGAAATCAAGAACTAATAATTGGGAGTGAGAATGGTCATGGCGCATAAGTGAGTAAAGTGCAAGAGTTTGATTGGTAAGAAAAGTGGAATCAGATGTCATGTGATTACAACAAGCGGAATTAAAATACCAACATATATTCTTACCTGGTGTGGTAGAAAGTGAAGAAAAAGATGCAGCTTGTATTCTAGTCAAAACTTGATTGATAATTGCCTCAAGGTCAGTTATAGAGAATGTAGAAGAAAAAGATGAAGACTTGCTAGGAGTGCTAAACACTGGTACTTGAGTTAGAGCTAGAGCTCGTGACTGTAGTAGCAAAGTATGAGAGGTAGCCATAATTGGAATAGATGAAGTCAGTCTAGCATGAGTGTAACACTCCTGAAATAAATGCCCTCGAATTCAACATAAAGTGCAGTAAAGAGAGTGATCATAGCGGTTATGTCATCCGTTGTGATGAGAGGATATCAACTGAAAAACCATTATATGAGCAGTGGGAGTCTGCAAGCGTACGTGCATTCCTGTTGTTAAGCTCACTGAGAAGAGCTTGAATAAGAGGAATGATCTCAATTTGTGCCATTTAGAGATCTTAGATACCAAAACGAACTACAAATTTAGAATCAGCGCAAAAAATTGGGATAAAATGGTGTCTTCGAAAAATAATTCTGACACTAATAACATGGTAAAGCAACTGAGGATGTGCAGATAATGATGTGGACAAGATGCTAATGTGGCAACAAATGTTGATGTGGTGTTTGACCTGGTAAAACGGTGATGTGGCAATGATGACATGGTAAAATGGGACCTCTAGGTTAACGTGGCATATGGACCCTTTAGACTGACGTGGTGGGTGATGTGGCACTAACGTGGCAACCCAATGCTAACGTGGTAGGGTTATGTAGCTGTAGACATGGCAGAATAGGTCCTTTCTACTGATATGTCAGATCGGATTGGGTTTCGGCGCGTGTAAGCATGTGTGATAGTTTTCCCGGCGAGTGTTAGCGCAAAGAAGTGTGTGTTGGTTCAAAAAATGGACCAGTGGCACGTGGGGGAGTGTGAGAGCTCCTTTCCGGCTATTTTCGGTGGCGTCCAGATGGTCTATGTCTAAACTTTTGCCTAATATGATCAAAACTGCAAGAGGATTTTAGACACTGAACATATTATGTTCTTGATGGGCTTATTGGAACAACACCAAGAGATTAAAAAATAGAATATAAAGAAGGAGGAGGAGGATTGGGTCTGATACCATGATAGAGATATATAGAGAGAATATGGAACTCTGTAATGTATTGAATTGAATAATTACAATGTACATAAAATATCTATATATAAATGAGGAATATGGGTAGGTGAGTGATGGACAAATTATCTATATATGTCAAGTGGTAGGTGGAAGCGGCTATAGTAAACCCTAGGATTATATGCAATATAATCTAACAGTGGCAATGGAATGTAAGAGCCGATATTTTGAGTTTTTCCTTGTAATTTGGCATATTTGACTTCTGATCACATAATTAATGAGAGTCACGACCTGGGAAATGGTAGGCCAAAAGTTTTTTTCTTGCTAACCAAAATGGCTCTGTCTCTCCGAACCTCCTGAATGAATTTCCTTAATGATATACTCTCTAGGGAGCATTTTGGAATGTACAACTTAGCTCCTTTAATGAGAAAGTCATCTTGAAGAAAGTCTTCATGCTGCCCTTCTTTACACCTTCCAAATTTCACCAAAATCTTTATCTTTAGCATACATGTCTCTTATGACATCAAATCTTTAATTTGACACTCATAGAAGTCAGAATTATAAGTTATGCGGTGCAAAAGTGGTGTGAAAAGTCTGATCTCAAAAGACCTAGAAGGGGTGAATAGGTCTAGGTTGCTCTTATGAATTTTTAATAGATTTTTTTAATTTCACCAAATTAAACCTAAATTAATCACACAAAGCAATAAATATAATGCAATAAAATAAAGTAGAATAAGAGATGACACCATGATTTTTTTAACGTGGAAACCTTGACAAGGGAAAGACCATAGAAACTAACCGTCTCATCGTATGAGTTCCGGTGCCTTCAAAATTTCTCTCCACAAGAGTTTATGATTCCAATGTCATCAGAATCACTCGTTGTTGATTTATCTCCGACACGAGTGTCCTCCAATCTTAGTGCCTTCAGAATTATCATCATGATCTACATGAACCTAATCACCTCATGATGACCTTCTTCAGGTGATTGAACTCACCTTCCTTTTTCACTTAGGAACGCGAAGATGAAGGAATAACCTTACTGTCAAGATCGGATAGGATATTCCATATAAAACTTTGTATAATCGATCAGATGGAAAACATCACCCTAATATCATGCATGTGTAATAGTGCGTGCTCATGAATAAAGAGCAATACTATGTTACCCGGACTCGGGTACGGGTGTCGGACACGGGTGCGTGTCTCGGGGTCGGATTCGTCAATCTATCAATTTACAGGATACGTGGACACGGCTCAAAAGTGTCCAAATATTGGACACGGGTACTTGGACACTTTGGAAAGTTAAAAAAAAAATTGGAATATTTTTTTATGTTTGAGACATCAATCATAAAACTAAAAAAATAAATATATCAATTGTAATTTTTTATAAACATTTTATAATTATTACTACCATTTGTTTGCCTCATTTGATTGGTGGCATGGCCATAGTCATGGATATGCATTCCCGTGTTACTATTTGATGGGAACCTGTAATCAGAAATTTTAAGGGCTCCCTTTGGGCAAGTTTGGGCTTGGGCTAAGATGCCTTTTAATTATCATCTTAGTCTTGACCTTTGGGTCTGTACAAGTCAAAGCACAATTAACAAGGAAGCCCAACTCAACAATATAAACAATATGTATATCAGTCATAACTCGTAATAAAGGTAAGTAGCAGCTGTATACCACACACAGCTGTAGGTATTGCTTTCCAGCTGTAAGGCATTGAATTTTTTACTTTTATTAAAAAGCCCATTATTGTCTCTATCTTTTCAGATCCAAATAAATAGGTAAATAGGTGGCATCATCCTGGCCATTAAAGGCTGGGTATTAACAATTGCGTGAAACCACGCTCAGGTAGGTACTTGCAAAGTCAGCGCATGCGATTTCACAAACAAGAAGTCGTCTTCAACCTTTAGACTACCGATTCGAATCAGAGCGCCATTGTTGAACCAGGAAGCTTCGTATAGCTGCAGATCTATTAAATAAAACACGAAAAAAATCCCTAATCCTTCACAAGCATCGAGTTACACATTCTTTTGTTTATTTTCGTCATCAGCCGTGTCCGGTTGAAGAACAGAGGGTCGGACACATATCCTATGTCGGTGTCTGTGTCGTGTCGTGTCGACACGGACACTCTGGCCGTCGCCGGCGAGTCCAGGTAACACAGGAGCAATAGTAGCAAAAAAATCAATGGTGGTTTTTCTGTTAAAAACTCTCTCGAAAGCTCTAATGGTGAAAAATACATTGTTTCTCATACACGTATTAAGATGGAGAAAAGATAAGTCGTTATAGACAAGAGAGTACAAGCATAAATTTAAAATGTGTTTATTTAGTCTAACATGTGTTTCAATTTTAACTATCAGGGTGGCGGGTTGTTAAGGGTGGCGGTGAGGTTCGAACATAAGACATTGTTTGCTTTGATACCATGTTAATAACCATCTACTCTAAATTCTTAAACTATGAGAGACGGTGTAACTGATACTTAAATCCTTCAACAAAATATATATAGCTTGTACTTAATTTTTTTTCTCGAAATTTATAGAAATTTTAACTCCAATCATTTCAGCCTTACTTTTGAAGTCCAAACTTGCAAAAAAAAAAATGTAGGTCCCTTTTTATGGTAGTTCTCGCTCTAACATATCATTACTCCATTCAGATTTAAATATATACACACACAAATGTCTATTATGGATGATATGAATTCAAGAGAGAAAAATGGGGAAATTACACCAACGACGTCTCCTCATGTTTAATAAAGATTCATTAACATACGTTCCTTGCCATTTTTGTTAGCTGGTGTTTATAAGAAAATTATCTTAAATTATATTCTAATCTCCGTATGAGAATCTCCATCTTTAAGTCTTTTGAGCACTGGGAAGAAGAAAAAACCAAGTGTATGATACCAAGATGACAAGAATATGTCAATAACAACAATGATAAAATGTATGCTTATATTTACGTTGTCACTTGTTAAATGAAATTTTGTATTACTACTACAAGTATAAGTTAGTAACTCTCTATTTTGTTCCTAATAATCGTGTTTTATTAAAGCTTATAAGATTTTATAGATGTATACCATGACTAGAAAGTTTTACATTTGAACAGTGCTTGTAATTGAAAAGAATTTCAGCTCACTTTTTTTTCTTTCTTGACAGTGGCAGCCTCCACAACTTGAGCAGGTGAGTGAAGAAATGGTGGATCAGTTTTTTGCCAAAGTTGATGATGATGATTGGCAGACTTTGAAACTCCCTCATGGACGCAGTCTGACTAACATGGGGAAACCAAAACTCTAGGGTTTATATATATAATGCAGCATTCAGTCAGTACTGAAGGAATATATATTAGTACTATATATATATATAGAAGCACATTTGTTCAACATTAATTTAGATTCCTATTCATGGAGTACTATTAACTAAAAAGACTCAAGTTTGCACCTATCTATACAATCATTTTAATTATTTATTTTTTTATTTTTGAATGCATTCTACGATTGATAATTTGATACAATATAAACAGGTACATAAAGTGAGAAAAAAGTGTGAGCAAGCTCTGATTCTAAATGAAAGTTGCCATACAGCCAAATATTTTTCACACCTTCATCTAGATTTACAAATTTATACAATAAACACTTCTGGTACATATTTAAATTTACAATTCCTTAATTGAAGGGATGAGATGCTGACCAATCCTAGAAAACAAATTACAAAATGACAATATACCGCATATCTAATTTTTGGTCACAACCTTCTCCCTAACAGAATGATAATCCACCTCATGGTGCTTCGTTCTTGCATGAAAAACTGGATTTAAAGCGAGTGAAATTGTGCTCACAACATCACACCATAGGACCGGCACGTTTGTTAGAGAGATTTGTAAATCATGAATAGATATTATTGTTGGGAAATGACTATTTTAAAAGGGAGACGATATTCGCACTCTATTTTTTTTTTCAGTTGCACTACATTTATCATTTTCTTTTAAATATGCAAAATTCATTAATTTACAATGTCACAACTACCCTTTATACAACTTTAATTTTTTTTATATTTTTACCTTCTTTACTTTCTTTACTATTTTTTTTCCCTTTTTTTCCTTTTTTTTTTGTTTTTTCCGGAGGTCCTCTCAAAGAAAATAATTTATTCTATACTAATAAATTTATTTTTGGTAGTCAAAAGGGATAATTTATTCCACAGTGACTCTTTTTTTTTTTTTTTTTTCAATCGAAAGAGATATTTATTCAACAAAATTGACTTTTTTTTTCAATTTTGTCAAAAGAGGTAAATTTATTTTTTGGTAATTTTTTATGGGTCCCGTCAAAAGAAATAATTTATCCGATAAAAGTAACTTTTTTTTTTTTTTTTTTTTTTTTGAGTCTTATCAAAAGAGATAATTTATTCAATAGAGATAATTTTTTTTTAATCATCTTCCTTTTGTACTTATTATTATTATTATTATTATTATTTTATTTTTATTTTTTTTGGATTTTGACAACATAGATGATTTATTCAATAAATATAATTTTTTAGGGTTTTTTTTTTTTTTTTTTTTTTTTTTTTTTTTTTTTTATATATATATATATCAAAAGAGATAATTTTTTAAGTAGTTACTTTTTAATTTTTTTATCCGACCAAAAGAGGCAATTTATTCAACATAACAAAATTTTATTTCTATTTGGTCCCTTAAAAAAAAAATATTCAAATTTTATTTTATTTTATTTGTGTTGTCAAAAGATACTTAAAATATTAAAGATTAGATGAGATAAGGAGAAAAAATATAAAAGGATAATTGTGCCATTTAAAAAGTAATAATTATTTACTTGTAAAGGTAAGATTAGAATTATCATTTTATTTAAGATTGTAAAGTAAATGTTAAAAAGTAGAGTGCAAATTAGCATTGGCGTCGACAACACATTGATCCTTACCTTACAGTTCACTAGCCAAACTATTTCAAACTGGCATTGTCCGTGAATTTATTACCACCCCAAGTCTCCAATGATAGAGTAATTAATTGCATTGGAAATTAAACTAAGTATTTTTATGTATAGAAGTTCCTTTAAATGAAAATAGATAATGGTAATACTTAAAGGCGTATAGAGAGACATGAATTCTTAACAAGAGATTTACTTACCCAAAAATAAAATTATTCTTAACAAGAGATTTGAGTAGATCTATGCACAGCTCTATAATAAGGTAGATCTATAATTTTTAATGGATATTAACTTCCTCCAACTATCTCTGTGGCATGTTATTGTTAGAATTAAATTTTTTCTTCGTCACACACCGCGTAAGCATCATTATCACACAAACATGTAAATAGCAATCATACACATTAACACACAACATACTATTTTATTAGTTCACCAAACTCTATACGTTTATAGAGTGAGAATTTCACTATTAATTATGAATCAAGAAAGAAAATATACAAATACAAAAGCATCATCATCATATTATTACACAAGCAAATATAGAGATAACAATCATACACATTAGCACATAACACAATATTTTATATATTTATTAACTCTAGGGCTATGATCATGGAGAGAGAAATTTTATTATCATAAACCAAGAAAGAGATTATACAACCACATATGTCAAAAACCCAATCACTCTCCCTCATTCACTCTTTTCTTCACACATTCCTTCTCATACTATATCCATTATAATTACATATACTTTGTCACCTCCTAACAACGTTCACTCTTACAACAAACCCTATGTCTTTCCATTTTCTGTCCTCTCAAACCCACTTCTATTTATAGAGTATTCAAACTCAATTCCTTGTTAAATAAGAATTCTACAACTTGCCTACCAAAAAATTACCATATCAATCACTGCTCTAAAATTAACACGCCACAACTTCCACACCTTCTTTCAAAAATCATCTAAGAAAGAAAAAAAAAAAAAATTGTATGCAGGCAATGTATTCTATCAATCACAACCTTGTCCTGTGTGTTATCAGCCTGGCATGACTATATTTTAGTCCAAAAAAACAAAATATTTGAATTGAGAATAATCTACATCAGGCCACAATAACAAGCATAACATGCAGCACCCAAAAAAATTAACACATACAATCCAACTTTTTAAAAATTAAGGTCATCAAATTAAACTCATAGCATAATTCCCAAATTGGAATTTCAAGAAGCTATCAACACAGTTATCGAGTTTATATTGTGGATCGATATGGTTTCGATTTTTATTCATCCTTGGTTGAGAATCATATTCTGGCTTTTGAAAGTTGAATGGAGAAGTAAAAGTTTTGGCTTTTAATTAGTTTCAAATTGTATATAATGGGACTTCATGGTCCAGTTCGATTTGATTCCATGTCCCAACGGTTCCAGTTTCATTTTTTAGGAACCGTTGGGAACAGTTCTGATTCTGATTCCGGTTCCACCAAAAATCGTATTAAATCAAACCGTGTGCCCCTAAGTGGAGGGCAACTAATACGAAATTTCTAATCCATGTTGGAGAATGTAAAGGAATGAACTTCCTTATTGAATGCTACTATACCTACCTATATAAAAGGAGAGGTCAGCCAACTCAATACGTATAATTCCCTAAGCAAATCCTTTAATTTCCTCTTCTTCCCCTCAATCTAAGACTGACTTAATCACCGGAGAGCCTTTGACCGGCACAGCGATGCCCTTCCAATTACTCTTTCATTCTTTTTTAAATACGACATTGTTCTTGGACGCGGCATAATCTTGCATCAACAAGTTCCATTTTGACCTTATTTTTATATTTCTTTATGTTGTTAGAGTTTCTTCATTATATATACTTGTATTGCTAAGAAAAAAAATTATTCATTAATTAATAATATTTTCAAAGTTATCTTTACTAATGCTTAAGTTATTTATCGTTCACTAATGAACGCTTGTCAGCTTTCCGAAGTTGTTTATTGTTTATTCGTGACCGTTAATAACTTTCGTTGTGTCATCTTGTCACGTCTGTCCGCCCCAAGGCCTCTGGACTAAAATCGTTGATGGAGCCATGAGGCTGCATTTTAAAATGAATACCGGGTTTCAAAAGAAACAGTATCTCTCGTTTTGTGGGCTGGTCTATATTGGGCTCGCCTTTGGGCCATTTTCTTTTTATGCTTTGCCTCACACTAATAAAGTAAATCGGGCTGAAAGAAAATTCTTTTGGCCCAATACTATACATTTTTCAATTAATATACTTTGTTTAACCTTCCGGAATGAAAAAAAACAAAAAATCAACTTACCAAACTGCACACTTTGACCTGGACGTGCAACGCCTTATGCATTATTAAATAACTTTCAGATATTCTTTTAAGTTAATTGAATATTTTGAAATTTTTGTTACAAGTTTAAACGAATTCGAATTATTCTAATTTTTGGTATTGATTAATTTTTAATGATTAGGTTTCTTATCATATTTGTATTTTTATTTTTATTTTTTCTTCTTTTGTTTGTAATTTTTAGAGAAAGTTACATTTTGACCTTATTTTAAGCTTTTCTTATGTGGTTAGGGTTTTTTTTTTTTTTTCTTTTTTTCCTACCTATTGTTAGGGTTTCTTCATTATATGTACAAAGAATTATTCATTAGTTAATAATATTTTTAAAACTGTCTGAATTTATACTTTGTGGATTCAAAAATTTTTAATAGTATTATTCATTTATGAACACTACTTTTTTCTGTCATTGACAAGAAAGTCGCACATACACTCACACACCCACTTTGCGCCTCTAGCGATAACTTTCGTTTTCTCATCTTGTCACATTAGAGATTAGACTCCAATAGGATGTAGCCAAGAGGCTCCATTTCTTATGTATACCGGATGGTTGGTTTGTTTGGGCTCGACTTTGGATCATTTTTCTTGTTATGTCTTTCTTTATACACTGACCTAAATTAGGCTGTAAGCAAATTCTTTTGGCCCAAGACTGTACTGTTTATTAATTAATAAAGTAATGCTATCACAAGAATTTAAAATCTATTTATTACTGGTGTTAAATTACATTAATTAATTTAAAAAAAATTAAAAACTGTACCGTTTTGAGATAAGAAAAATTTACTAAAGTTTAAAAAATGCACCATTTGATATTAAGAAAAATTTACCATATTTTAACGTCATTATCTCTCCCTCATCTTTTCCAAAAAAAAATATCATTCCAATTGTGGGAATGAGCAAGAGGAAAGAGAGGAAAGATCTTTTTTGCAGCACTTTTTTACCAAACCTATGTTTCCATATCTTTGCTTTAAAAATTATTGCAACAAATTTTACGTTACTAAATGCACTACTCTTTAACAAAAACGTTGTTTCAGCTCATGAAAATAGAAACACAAAATAAAAACTGTTGCCAAAAAGTCCCTTAAACAAAATGGGTAAAGCATCAAATAACTTTCTAAACAATCTTTCTTTGAGTTAAATGACCTGGACCTGCAACAACTTAAACAAATAAAAAAGGAATCAAATAACTTTC